TTTTCAGCACTCTCAATCGCTTGCGAAAAATGTGCTGACCAAGCGAAAGGGTGTGGGTGTGTTTACCCGCTTTCTGTTGTCTCATGCACACTCGGACACTCACAAGCACACCCACACCCAATATCAAGTTACATATACAGTGGCCGTCAAAATTATCCAACCACATATAATTTGGATTTTATTTCATAGTCGAACATGTTAGAAGAAATCTAAATAGTGATTTGAATAGAGAAAATTGTTTCCAATAACAATATGATAAAATGATGATTATCGATAAATTCCCAAAAACGGAACATCCAGAATACTAAAACCCTGGTTTTTCAACACCCCAAAGTCGCGAAACAAACGGCATTTTATTTCTCCAGATCGATAGAGCAACTGATTCTCTACAAAATGAGACGTCCCCGACCGTTCTATGACCTTCCTATCAAAAGTTATGAGCATCACAAAAACCCAAAAAATGCGAAATTTATAAGAAAACTACCAAAAACCTGCATTTTTTGGGTTTTTGTGATGCTCATAACTTTTGATAGGAAGGTCATAGAACGGTCGGGGACGTCTCATTTTGTAGAGAATCAGTTGCTCTATCGATCTGGAGAAATAAAATGCCGTTTGTTTCGCGACTTTGGGGTGTTGAAAAACCAGGGTTTTAGTATTCTGGATGTTCCGTTTTTGGGAATTTATCGATAATCATCATTTTATCATATTGTTATTGGAAACAATTTTCTCTATTCAAATCACTATTTAGATTTCTTCTAACATGTTCGACTATGAAATAAAATCCAAATTATATGTGGTTGGATAATTTTGACGGCCACTGTATATGTGAGCGTGTGATTTTCTCATAAGTTCTCATCTAAATTTAACAGGACCAAGGGTTTTCATCCGTTCACCTCATATACTGCGAACTCTGATCATGTAGATACTTGACAATAGGTCTATCTATTGAACTTCCGTGTATACGAACACTTCTTACCTCATCGATCCCCACTACTGCAGTTGAATAAATATTAATGCAACAAAGCCTTACAAGTTCAAATATCAATCCAGTGAAAGCAGTGGCGTATCCAGGATTTTTTAGGCACTGAGCAACACTCTGCCAGAGCTTTCTCGAGGCCCGAGTAATTATGGGTAATTCAAATGGACACTGGTTTAATATTGCTTGGCTAAGTTTTGCCTTATCGCCGTACTTGACTTCTTAACATTTTGTCACTGCTAAGCTTTCCTTGTTAGCTTTCAAAATATCCCTTTACACTACCAGAAATCACCAAGATTTAGTTGTATTTTTCTGGAGAGAAACTTGATTTTCTTAACCCAAAAGATGTAAGAGTCACTGTACAAGAGCTATCACTAATTTTGCGCAATTTAAGATGTCCCAGCTTTGATGGAATCCTCTGATAGTTTCAAATTATTAGTCGTCGAAAAAAAAAATATTCTGCGAATTCATTTTGGCTAGACCGAAGAAAGCCTACCTCAAAATAAATTGCCAACAGCTCCCCATGTAATTGTTTGAAGTAGAGTTTCTTCAGCCTGGCTCAATCGAATTCGCTGAAACTTTTTCCAAAAGACTAACCACCCAGGACTATATGAGGGCCTAAACAATACTTTTGCATCTAGAATTGTGAAAATTTAGTCGTGGATTTCATGAAATGATTCGTCTTGGCTGTTTAAGGAGCTGTCCGAGAATAAAGTGAACTCTGAGTGTGAGGAGAGAAGTTACGAGTTGATCACATGTTTCTATGTGCTTCCACTAAAAAGTATCTGCAACGAGAGAAGAAAAGTTCAAAATAGCCTAAAAACTATCCACGTGGTGCCGAACAGCTCGTCAGTAAAAACCGTTCGAAAGATGCTAATAACTTGGCTAGGATACATCTGCAAAAGCTAAAACTTCGGTTCTGTGTCTAAAACAGCATCGTCGACAAGATGAAATATGTTTCATACGGATTCATGACTATGATTGCACATCTCTCTGTGACGCTGGATTTTGTCTCTTGTGCAATGATTTCGAAGACAACAATTGAAAGGAATAATTTCTGTAGATGTTTATATTTTGCAAGAGTGTCTTGTCAAAAAAGAATGGAATCATGCCAGAGGAAGCCAATTCTGGTGTCATCGAATTGGCGATCACCAAAACAATATCGCAAACAGGTTTCAATAGTGTTTTCTCTTCTTCGTGGACATGTTCATGACTTGTTTTATTGAACGAGCGAGCAATTGTATCTCGGACATGAATGAAAAACTTGCTGTTTAAGAATTCGATGTTATTGAGATAATGTCTGTAACGATGACACATGAGATTAATTGATGTCGGCATCAGTCGTGCTCGAACTCCAGAATAAGATCTGTTTCGTTGTCCATTGTCATAGATCCTGTTAGCAGTTTCGTACACATCGTTACAATGCTCTCGAATCGTGGTAATCGAGGCTGGTGTTGATTTCTCCGGTAACAACCGCAAGTGAATTGTGGTATCGATTAATGGATGCATTTTTCTGAACTATTTCTTGTTGGAATTGTGTACTAGCATGAAGTTGCTTGATTACGACTTATTTATAAACCTGTAGTTGACAAAATTTTTCATTTTTTTCTTTCATCAATTCAAGTTTGTATTAACAATGGTAATGTCGACAATGCAATTAAAAAACATGTCTTGAAGAGACTACATCTCAAAAGAGCATGGCATTGTATTGCTCGTTGAGGCTTTCCTTATTTTGTGTAACAAATAAAAGCGAGAAAGTTGAATTGGATGATGTAGTATATATCACGATTGATGAGAAATGGAAAACACTGTCGTTTGGCCAGCGTGTCTTCGACATTGTACAATGTTCACTGCCTCTAAAGCATCCTCATCTTGAATTATTTAAAAGAAATCTCGAGAAAGGATGAGAAATCATAATCAATTTATCGCAAGACAGAATAAACAATTTCAAGATGTAAATTGACTGCAGAACTTTACATATGGTGGTATACTCTTTCTTCAATCAGTTCGTAACAGAGGATATTGTCCTCAGCGAGAAGACTTTATAATAAATAACTAGGCAAAGTCGAAAAATCATATTTAACTTCATGATCAGATCAATAACAGCGACTCACTGCTCAAAATGACGAAGGTGAGAAGAGACAATAGCAATTTGATCAACTTGCTTTAATCATTTTGGTTTTTACTCTACACAGCCATGTCTTAAAAGTTTTATTTTGCTGTGACGACAAAGATACAGTTGTATGGTTATCAAACCACACTCATTCAGTGTTGCTTCGTCTCAGTAGTGACTGTGCCTAGCTTTTTCTAAATTCGGAATAAACCAACTGCCGACAATCAACGGAATGCGCCATTCATCGATTACTTTTTGTATTTTTTTTCTATGTAAATCAAAGCAACTACTCTTATGTACCATGTTGAAATACATCATCCTTCCGCGAGAAAGAGAACAAAAAGAAACTATGCGCTTCAATGAAGTTTTGTTTGCTGTCGCTGGATGACTTATCTACATTTACAAGGCAATATCTTGAGACGCAATATCGAATTTGACACGAGCCTATATTCATTAGGTAGGCTTCCATAAGCAATGAGTAACTCTTAAGGAAGGATACGCCACAGGACCATCCTAGGCCGTCGGAGAAAAAAAATTTCACCGATTTAATTATTTCAAATAAAAGGTCTAGTCAAACCATAGTCAAATCCAAAATATTAGGTCGTTTGCTTTTTACCTATGAAAAATTCGAGCTGCAACAATTATAAAGAAGCTATTTTGATATCTAAACATCGCTACCCTGAGGGCATGTTCAGTATTTTGACACTATCTCTCGAGCAGGTTGGCCATTCGAGCTCTGGATGTGGGAGAAGTTGTGTGTGAATATTGGTACCGATGTGAGTTTTTGAAAACAGAAGACCTATATTCACATCTCACACCATCCACCTACACGATACTCACAGCCGCAGCTACACACCCACACCCTCCTCCGCTAAACATACTTTTCAAAAACAACTTTCTACTAATTATTTGAATCAGAATGCGCGAAGCTCTGGTTTTGAATTTTCAAAGACGTTTTTAGTTTTACATACAAGAATGAGATTTGACGCAAACAGAAAGATAGGACAGAAATGGCTTATTTAATCTGTGCCAACCATGATTCTAAACTTTTTAATCAGGAATACCAAACTCCTATTATTTGATGTCATCACACCGTGTAATCCGCAGTGCCTTTAAATAGTGTCAATACATAGATGATGATTTTTATGATACTTGTATGGCACAGAGAAAATTTGTCGTGCTTTTCTGTTTGCTCCTGAGAAGATTCAGTACATTCTGTATGTCTGTCATGAACACAAGAACTATTTGTTCAGAAGTTTTTTTATTGATGAGAAAATAATTGAAGATAATGCTTTCTGTAAAAGTTTTATTTATTTATTACCCTGAAAATCAGAAATATTTCTTTTAACTACAGACACTAGACATAAATATATTTCATTTGTTTCATAAGCTTTTTTTTTGAAATAATATGGTTTTGATTTGTAGGTTTCAATCAAAGTAGCCTTCATTTTTAATTAGTTGTTTTTTACATATTTATTAACTCTGTACAATAATTTGTTATCGGAGAAGATCGATTGAGCGAAAAAATATGAATGTGTTGAAAGAAACCATTCATAATCAATGCTTACGGCCATACCACGTTGAATACACCAGTTCTCGTCCGATCACTGAAGTTAAGCAACGTCGGGCTCGGTTAGTACTTGGATGGGTGACCGCCTGGGAATACCGAGTGTCGTAAGCTTTTTTGCCATTTTTTTTTTGTTTTATCAAAAACATATTCTTTCATGTTTAGCTGAAATAATTGTTTATTTTATTTATTACTATGCATATGATTAAAATAATTAAACCAATAGATCCGTTTTCTTTATTAAATTTTTCTCAATCCCATAGAAAAAAATATTTATATATAGCATCAAAACAAAAACTAGACACAAGTCTATTTAATAACAAATGAAACTAATAATAGAAAAATCATTTTCGTGCAATACCCGATACATGGGGACTTAAAAGAAATGGAATACCATGTGCAATAAATATATGTTGTGTTATACCACCATTAAAATGTGCTCGTTCAATATGTTCCGGAATATTTCTTGTTAATGAAATACCAAATAGTAATTTATATATTGGTGAGCAAAGATATTGAATAGCAGCAAAGAAAGTATTCGGCGAACGAATATTTTCCATATAGAGAAAAACACCACCCTGCAAAATACAAAAACAAACGATAAGATTTAATTAATCATCAAGTTTCTTCTGATTTACAGGCTTAAGAATGCGACGAATTTCACGTAATGTTTGATCAATATTTTTACAACAAGAAAGTGTTAAAGTTGATACAACTGCATCAACTTGATCATCTCGAATAACTATAAATTGAAAAAAAAAACATATATGGGGCTTTTTCTTTTGTTTTATTTTATTTACCAGAAATATTTTCTGCACTACCTACTAATAATTCTCTACATTTAACATGTGAATTTTGTCGAAGTGTTTGTGTTAAATATTTTTCAAATTCTCTCATTGGTTCAACACAAATAACTTCAACAACTAAGATAGAACAAAATAGAAAATTTCTATTAAAATAATATTTATTATTTTACGATGTGGAGGATAATACTGCATATTAGCACCATGTGCGGCACCAATTTCAACTACTTGAAGTCGTCTTCCTTCTTCTCTTATTTTCACATATTTTAATTCATCAAAAAGTTTTTCTTTTTCTAAATGAAGTGCTTTATTATAACGAAGAGAAAAATTCTTCGTTGATGACATATAATAACGTCGATAAGGTCCAGGTAAATATTTATAAAGTGTATAGGAACCAACACATACAACAATGACTGTTCCTATTTTTGTCCATGGCCAATAGCGATATTCTTGTTGAAATGGTGCAATTATATTAGATACAAAATTACGTATTGTACCTAATAATGTTGAAGGCTCTTCAGTTAAAATTGGTTGTGGAAATGCGTATATATTTGGTTTATTCATCTTAAAAATAACAAGACTTTTAAAATAAATAGCAGGTTTATTTCTATTATAAAAGAGAATAGGCGCACGGTTAAATAAGATAAATGTAATAAACTTTTTTTTCACTTTATTTCTCAAAAATTTTATTAAATGTTGGTCCAATCTCTTTTAATACATCTGCACTGATCATTGCACGACCAAGTTTATTAAAAACTGTTTGACTCGCAGTACGAACAAGTGTTGAAGCAGCATAAGCTGCTACTTGAGCTGGAGTTAATTTCAATGAATAATGTGGACGTTCATTAGTTATCGGTGATTTCTCTGAATTCGATGCTTGATATTCAAATTTGTCACGACTTTTTATTGCCCAATAATATGAAACAGCCAAAGCTCCAGCTAATAAATCTCCTTGACCCCCACAACGTCTTGGTGAACCTTCAATACCACATTGTATTGGTTCTTGATTATTTGGTGATGATATTGTATCTAAATGTCCTTTCATAAGAACATTAACATGAAGTGCTTCAGCTAATTTTTGGACTAATTTTTTTTTATCATCTTCTTTTTTTATTTCTTCAGATTTTGCACCAGCTACTTTTTCATATAAGCGTTCAAATTCAATAATATTTGGTGTTAATATACAATTTTCATAATTATTTATAAGATGAGGTTTTTCAGTTATTAAATAAAGACCATCAGCATCAATAATAATTGGTATTGGTTGCTCTTGTTTACGTAAAATTCCAATTAATTGTTCAACATTTGATAAAATGTTTTCATCTCGTCCTAATCCAGGACCAATAACTAATGCATGTAAACGTGGTAACCATTTACCTATATCATCCGAAAAAGATTTTGAGTCCTAAAGAAATTTTAAAGAAAAATAAATAAATCTATTTTAACTTACAAGAAGTGGATGTACAATTAGATCAGGTGAAAAACTTTTTATTGGTATAGCAGCATTTTTTGCACAAAAAACATGAACAAGATCAGCACCTGTTCGTAATGCTGCCATACTAGCAAAAATTGGTGCACCTGTATATTCTTCACTTCCACCCACAACACCAATACGACCAGCTTCACCTTTATGTGTATCAAATAAAAGTGGTGGTATGACTTTTCGAAATGATTGCAATAATTGTATATGTTGAGGAGCCATTGCCATCTAGAATATGATAGATAATGCGAAAAAAAAACAAACTATATAACTAATATATTCGTATCGTTATTATCGTTTTTATTCAAGAATTGTTTTTCATAAACAAAAAGAAAAATAAGAAGGACCGGGCTTATTATGTAAAGAAATAGAAAAATACCAAACGGAAAGAAAGAAAAAGAACGCATGCCGTAATCACTGGGCATATATTAAACAAAGATAGAAAATTCACAAATGTGTTGATTAATCGCTCGAACAGCACTTACAAGTCCCTGTAATTGAGCAAAAGAAAACCGACACCTCACTGTTCTAAAAATTAATAATAAGTATATTTAAGTAAGAATAAAGAACAGAATAATTGCATAAAAAAAATACAGAAGATACATAGAATGAGAAAAATAAAGAACGGCACCGAACGAAAAAGAAAAGAAAATATGATTGTATCATTGTTTTTATTCTTAATTAGCAACCAATTTGTACACTTGATATTGTGGCCCACCTGTATCAAACATAGCTATTTCAAAAACAAAAGCAAGACAAAGTAAAAGTTGTTCGGTATTATCTAGACATTTAATCACTTGGAGTACAGTAAAGTTCTAAAATAAAAGAGAAAAAAAAAACATATGTCTGCTTTTATCGTAAACGAAAAGATTTCAATAATATACTTGAACAAATCTTATAATTACTTTCATAAATGAAGCTATAAAAAAAACCGTCCGACATAATCTACAGAATTTCTATCCAACGCAAAGTTGAAATATATACTGATCATTGTATATGTTATGATATTTTATGATAAACCGACATTGTTCGATATTTTTATTGAAATGAAAAGGAACCAGAGATCTGCACCGCGCCTAAATACGGGGGAGAGGCAGCGCAAATAGTTACAGTCAGAAAACCTTTTCAGTGAACTGCACCACCGTCCGTACCTTCCTAACTGAGTGAGATACGACTATTTCACGGAAAAAATATTCGAATGAAACTGCGAAAGTCAAATTCATTTATTCAGGTTTTACAAATCGGTCTAAACCGTGGTGCGAGCTAAGGCTCTGCTACTCAAACTGCGGTATTTCTGTACTGTGGTTTTGGCTAGTTTGTAAAAACTGAATAAATGGTGTAATTTTTGCGGTTTATGGAAACCGCCGTTAATCGTGGTTTTTTTCGACACTTTTTTCTTGGAATGTAAAAAACAACAGTTCATTCGCTTTTTTTTTTAAGAGTAACTGTTAGATTCAAAAGGCATCTCGATACTATAAACAAAGAAACACTAGCGCTGTTCTAATTTAGAAGATTCCATCAACATCAGAAAAGCTGTGCTGCCTTCTAAATCTTTGAATTTATTTTATGGAAAAATATACAATTCGAATATCTATCATTATTCGTACTTCAGTTCGAAACAAGGAAAACTGCTAAAAATATTTTCAACTACTGTGACTAATTCTATCTATAGTAATAATCATGAAACACCACAATATATAGAATTTACAATATCTTGATGTATTCCAATATACTAAGATTCACTGTTATCACTAGATCTTGTACTTGTATCACTGATATTGTATAGGATTTCTATTATTGAGAGTGCCGATATTTTGTATTTTGTCTTCTTGTTTTCTTACCTCCAATACACTATTCATCATACAAGTATTTGGAAGAGAGCGAAGTTTTTGTATAAATTGTACCATATAATCACATAATGGTGAACGATCAAAACGGTAAATATATTGATCAAATTGATCACGTTGTGGATGTTCACTTGTTTCAACTTTTTCTAAAACTTGTTTACCAAATGAACATAAACGTGTTGAAATATGTATGGGACGATTTGAGCAGCTTGTATATGTAAATGATGTAAAAAATGATTCATCACGATTATTCATTGGATTTGTCATTGACGATAACATGGGTACATCAGCCCAAAATTTAATTAAAAAAAATGATCCATATGGATTACGTTCATATAAATCTTTTAAACCATCATAATGAGGAAATTTATCAAATATTTGATCAATTGATATTGTTTCAAAATTTTGAATACTTTTCATTTGAATATCATTTGCATGCAAACGAACTAAATCATGTTGATGCATTGAATATGCTTCTGATGCTGGATAAATTAATGATGGATGTGCTGTAGCTATTGCTCGATTGATTTCAACAAAAGCACTTAATTCATAAAGACGAAAATTTTCATCACCGATTATAGCTAATGGGGTTACAACTGAATTTGTTACCATTATACCTTGAGACATTGTTGAACCAGAAGATAATGGAGATGATGATGAAGCATTTGATGAACATCGAGATCGACCTGTAACATGAGTATATATAGCAGGAGAATCTATATGAAAAGAAAATTTTATTATTATTATTTGGTATTATTTTATATACAAAAGCAATACTTCACATTAAAAGATAGATGAAAAAAAGAAAGAAAACATATAGGTTATTTTAATCATGTAATTAACACTTCACTGCTGATAGAATGTGCTTATATTTGTAATGAATCGAATCGTGATTGATTCACCAATTGTCTTCCTCTTTCATCTGAATACAGTAAATATAACTGTGAACTGTCCACAGAAAAAAGCAGCGCTTTTAGATCAGCTGCACATAGACATGAGGTAGAACAGTCGTTTTTTGGTTCGTTCCCAGCTTGAAAAAACAATTATTCTTGGTTGCGATTTATAAAAAAAAATTAGTTTCGGTCTTGATCTAAACAAACAATTAGTTCCGGTTTCGGTTCAAAAATTAATCCAACGCTCTATCTTGGCTCGGGGTCCATATTGCCCATATTCATTTATAACACATGAATTATGACAATATGACATTAGATATAAGTTTCGTACGATCATGAAAAGTATTGTCTCCAATGAAAAAGCGTTGGTCCTGTTCCTCATCGCGATCCATATCTAAGTGCACGACTGTGCATGTAGATGTAGAATACTTGAAGTACTATTCTTACTGCATATATTCTATGTTTTTTTTTAAGATTAATTATATAGACGTTCAGGTAACATGATCTATATTAAATTCAATGACTTTTATTGAATCAATATCGTATGATGCTCATAAACTGCACGATTGATTTTTTTATGCAGTTGAACTAATATACTGCTTTCTATTCTATAGATAAAATGACTGTTTACTTGGTATAAAATGTGGCGGAACTGAATTGGTTATTATATTTGGTATTGTAACGTTGGATTTATTATTTGATGTTATCCTTTTGGTTGTATTTTTTTTAATATTAGGTGTTTGAGAACATGAAAATAATTCGTCTTTCGTTTGGAATTGATCTATATTCATAGTTGATGATTGAACAGGTTTCGTTAAATGTTCATCAATTGGAATGGGTTGAAGGAGATTCTTAACTGGACTAGGTGTCTTTTTTTTCTTTTGTACTTCATTATCTGATGATAATGATTCATTATCACTATTAATTTGTTCATTATTCATTGAAACAATTTCAGCTGATGTATATTGTTTTAATCTTTCAAGTATAACTTGTTGTGCAACTTTATCATTACGTAATGATTGTAATTCTTTTGAACGACGTTTAGCAAGTACTTGTAAATGTGATGATACTTGTTTACGTGTACGTGTTTTGCCCGTACGAATTTTAATATAACGTGCAACTAATTCATTACGTCCATACATTTTTCCTTCTTCAGTTAAAATTATTTTTCGTCGTCCACATGGTGGATATATAGCAAGTGCTTCAAGAAAACTTTGTTCAATGTCAGCACTCCATATACCTTCAGCTTCATCAACTGTTCCATTATTTGTTGATGATGATGGTATTGGAAGATTATTATCTATTTTAGCTTTATCCATTTGTTTCCTTTTACTTATTCGAAAAAATCATATACATCTAGAAATACTAAATAAACAATTCACGATAGATAAATGTTTTTATTTAAACGATACACAACGAAACGAAACAAAAAACAAAATTAAGATGTTTATTTTTTTTTTTGTACATGTAAGATAATTAAAAATAAAGTGGATTATAAGTTATCCAATGAGCTTTATTTTTTTCTTTCTGTTTAGCAGCATCACTTGTTGTAAATAATGATTTATATAAAACGGATGTAGTTGGATCTTGTTGAATGGATGTTTTCTCACTGGTTGATTTATTTGTTGAAACTACTTTTGATGTAGAAACTTTGCTTGTTGATACTTTTTTATTTGTTGTTGATGATGATGACGATGGAACATCAGTATTTGCTGTTGAATCTAGAAAAAAAAAACAACAAAGAGTTTAGATTTAAAAATGCAAAAAATATTCTAAGTAAAAAAGTGAATTTTGTTATCAAAGACGATCCTAAACATTCTGACAAGAGAACCCTTTCAAATGACTAATGACTTTTTCAGTTCGGACTGTGTATCTAACGTAGACTCTAGTAAGACATGAAAAATTCCAATAGAGTAAATCAACTTAGACCTTCTGTCCATGATTATAAATATTTTACCCGAATTTTAGATTATGGCACTGTATACATTAACAAACCAAATGATACTATTTCTATTGGAAGTTTTTCTCACAGATAGTTCTATATGTAAATAAAATGTGCTAAAAATTTGTATATCCCACAAACAATGCTAAGATTTTCTATTTTTTGAAACTTTTATATCTCAGAAAGGAAATATTTTTTGAGATGAAATCTTCCGAACATTCTATTCATAAATAGACCTGTTTGTGGACAAAATCTCAGGTCGAATTATCGTCATTCAGATTTATTGTTATATACGATGCCATAAGCTTAAATTCCAGTAAAATGTCTTTGACCTTGAACAGAACACCGAAGAGAATTCATCCTTTCAAGTTTCTTTTTTCATATCTTACTTGAGTCTATCTTCTACGTACAGAGTCCGAAACCAAAAGATATTGATCAATTGAAAAGGTTCCCTGATGAATGCTGCTATTGGAAAATACCAACTCTATTATTTATCCTTTTCCTTAATCCATATAAAAAGTTTTATGATGATATCTTGAATTCAATTAAGATATACATCAGGTATTCTGTAAAGTCACCTTTCACAAAAGAGACTATACATCTTCATTGTAGTTAAACCAAATAAATTTGCATTTATTTCTCTGAGTAGAGGAGTCTAGCAAGCTTCTATTCATAAATCCTTCTAAAAATTAAACTTTCGGATTCAGTGCACAAAAAGAAAACTCATGTTTTCGAAAGACAAAAAGCAAGGTTTCATATTGAATTCTAATACTTTGCATTATATACACCATCAGATAGAGAAAGTTGTTTTCTATAAACCTGCATACGTACTGTCCTGTAATCAAAAACTACCGAAAAACTTACAGTTGTCCCTTTATTCTTAGAAAATGCCATTCGTCATTGAACAATCATTATTATTACTCAGTAGTAGACATTATGCAAATCTATTGCGTATATTGCTTTCAGTTTTCACCACCTCCATGGATTCTGTTAAGCAGCTGTATTCAATAGATGGCGCTAATTTATTTGTTTTCATTCTATTTTAACTTCGTAACAAAAAATTTTAGCAACATTATATAGTCTATAGTTCCGAAATATGCGCAACATTGATTAAATCTTGCAAAAGTATGCTTTCAATTGTTCATCTAATGTATACATGTATTAATCTCAAATCTAGTAATTTTAGAAATTCTAATAATTGTGTCAATTCTATCAATTGATTTCTTGATGAGCAAATAGTGAACTACTTCAAACAAACATAATAATTACTCACGTTTTTTCCAAACTATGATGGAAATAACTGTAAAATAAGACAATGAAATTTATATATGAAAACGTCTAGAATGACGCAATTCAATATAAAACCATGCCTTTTGTTTCTTGAAAGTCGAAATAAGAAATTTTTGGAAGCATTTATAAATAAAAACTTGAAAGTCTTCTCTATTACTCCAAAAAAAAAGTCAATTGATTTGGCTTAACCACAATGAAGATTTATAGTTTTCTTTTTGATAGGAGAATTTTCGGACACTATAGATGACTTTTTCTGTTCTCATATAATATTATTCGTTTGATAAAAGCTTTTAAAATATTTAATTTTTGTAGTTCTTTTGTATTCAGAAAGGATAAAGCAAAATTTAATTCTAATTGAAATACAGAATTTTATCACTCACCAATTTTTGTTTTTTTGCTATTTGTATCTTCTTCTGTTTCGGGTAATTTTCGTTTCGTTGAACCATTCTTTTTTTGATTAATATTTAATCGTTGCCGTCTTTCTTCCATTAAAATAATATCGTCATTTTCTGGATTGAGAATAATTATATCATCATTTGATGAATATTCTTCTCCACATTTTGGACATGAAAGTTTTTCATTTGTCGTATTATTATTATTAACTGATCGAAGTGCTCGATCAGATAAAACACAACCACATGTCCATATAGCACAAAATTTATATTTACCATTCATTTCTAAACCAGTTAATGGGCATATAAATGGTGATGAATAAACATCTAAATATTCATTGCCTAAATCATTATGATTTGATTTAAATGCTGGATTTTCTGTTAATTGTAATTCTTTAACATCTTTCATTTTTTTAATATATGATGGTCCATGTTCAAATTGCATACGATCAAGTAAATATTCTAATATAGCATCTTTATTATATAAAAGACCATGTGCATCAACAACAATAGGTCGTTTAAGTGTATCATGTTTTAATGTACAATGACGCCATTTAGCCATATTAGCCGCATTTTTATCTTTAATTTCAGCTTTTTTCTTTTGTCGTACAAGTTCGTCACGTTTTGGTATTGTACCACCATCGCATCCCATATTGAATTATTAAGTTGAAATGAAATGATCTGCAATAAAAAAAAAATGAGCTCAATATTTATGAGTCAAAATAAATTTTTCCCATTGGTTCCATAAGAAAATTACATTTGTCTCTATGTAGTATACTCTAGCGACATTAACATAGTTATGCAATTGTAAATTTCATATTGACAAGATGAGTCATATTTTTAAATAATATTATTAGGTTGGTTTTTTTTTCGTTTCTTCTAGCAAATTCTATTAATACGCATAACATTAAAAATAAAACACAAATCAATCATGCCTACTTGTCCTCGTGATGATCAATATTCATCAAAACCACCGCCTGGTTTTACTGATGATAATTTAACATTAAAACGTGTACAATTAAATGATTTATTAGTAAAAGTTATTAATAAATATCAACATGAACCACAATTTCTTGAGGAACAATCAAAAGAAACAGATTTATTAATTACAGTTGCACAACTTATACTTCTACCATCACCAATTTCATCTGATGATAAACGAGATTTTCTTCATAATATTGTCACAATCGGACAAGATTTATTAACAGATGAAAATCAAGTTAATGATAATGAACAAATACCTACATCAGTTGATTCTAGTATGTTATTTCTTATTGAATTAAAGAAGAAAAACAAATTTGTATGTTTTCTTAGAATAACGTAGTAGAAAAAAATTTAACAACAACATGTTTTTGTTTTCTTTTTCTATCGTGTTAATAGAGGCAAAGCCAGGGTTTGAGGCTGAAAGAATGGCTGAAGAGAAAATCTTTTCAGATTTTCTCTTGTGATCTCTATGAATTTTTGCTTGTCGATGCCATATAGTATTATGATAAAAGTCCTTAAAGAATTCGGGTTTCAATCGAGATTTCACTTCACTTTTGAATTTTAATCTAAAATTTGGTGCATATAGACACCTCAAGTAGAGATGTTTCTATAAAAAATTCAGAATTTTTCAATGAAGCCATTTCATTATATGAGACTTTGAAGACATAGATCTTTTTCCATGAATGATGTGTACATCATACATTTTTCGAAAGTTTCATTTTCATAGACACTTTGTTCAAAACTTATGAATTTGTTTGTAGAGGCTAGTCTAGCTAAGTTCTTAATCGCAATTCAAAAATATGATTTTTTTCGAGAACCTCAGGTCTATAGAACAAAATGCAATAGTTTTGTCAAATCTCAATAGAAACCCTAATCCTTCTAAGGGTACTTCCTTTTCTCTATTGGAAGTTTTTTTTTTTAATGATCATTGTATAGCTCTAAGTAGTATCTATCTACTGAAATATTATACGAACTGAAATTTGTCTTAAAAACTTCGAGAAAAAAATCGAATTTACACAACGAAAATAGCGCAAACTGTACATTGTTTCGGATATTTCTCAAAACAATTTTTACATGGGAAAAAAAGTGTAGAAAAAACATGTATTTTTTTTTTAAGGGTATCTTCAATAGTTTAGCTTTTTTATTTGAAGGACAAGAAATAAAAAGATGTTTACCGCGAACAGTGCCTAGTACTTGTAAAAAATTTTCAGGTTGATAACAGATAGCAACTAGGAAAAACAGGGACGATAATTCAAACTGTTGCGATCCCAGTATGTCATAGATTTTTGAGTCTATGACTTAATAGATTATTATCGAATATCATGATGCATTAATACAAATTGAAAAACATTCTATTGAATTTTTTGTTTAGATCTTCAACTCAATGAAAATAAAGAACTATCCATACCTGTTCTTTCATCGAATACAATAAATAATGATGGTGATGGTGATTTTTCACTTGAAGAACTTGCTAATGAATATCTTCAAAATGAATCATCACCTTCTTCTTTAAACGAAAAGTTCATAACACCGTCGGAATCTGAAGCACCTGATTTAACTCTTGATAATCTTAGTAAAGATTTTCTTTCATCTTCACCTTCATCAACATCATCAACAACAAATAATTTATCGAATTTCATTTCGTCTCCATTATCGAATGAACCTACTGTAATCAAATCTCCGCTTGAATCAATACTTTTTTCTAATCGTTTATCATCGCAAGATGCTGCGGATGATGCTGATGGTATTTGGAAAGAAGAATCAAGTCTATTTGGTCAAATATTTTGTACAAAAACAATGGAAATTCCAATATTAACATCAAAACGAATTTCAACATGTTTATTTGATCGTGCTTTATATGAACGTTTAACGAATCTTATTACTCTTTTACCTAAACAATGTGTTCATAACAGTGTTCAACAATTATCTATTCGACAAAATGGACAACAACAACAACATCGACCGCCACGTCCAAATAATGACAATCGACGTCCATCAAACCGAGCCACATTTCAACAAAATTCATCACAAATACATTCTAATCAACGTTTTCCAACTGCACAAAATTCTCGTTCATATGGAAATTCAAATTATTCATATCAACAAGGCAATCCCGGTGGACATTTTGTTGATCGAAGACAACAACAACAAAATAGATATCCTCCTCCGTCGTCTTCCACACAACAATTCGGTAATTATCATCAACAACAACAACAACAACAACCGCAACAATCAAAACATATACCTAAAAATAATTTTCATGGTAGTGGGTATCAATCACAAACAACAAAATCACAAACAAATAGTCAACAAGTAGCAAATGATCATCATCATCATCAACGAGGTCCAAAAAAAGCTTCCGGTGGTGGTAGTAAGTAGTTTTCTTTTATTGTTCTTTTGTAAAAATAAAAAAAAGTCAATAACAAAAAACAAAAAAAAAACAATCATCGTCTATTTTGTTTAACCAATAGGTAACAAATTCGCCAATGAGAAATCAGGTGTGCCCGGATCTGGTCCAAGTTTAAAACCCAAATAGATAACTAGTGGTACAAAACCAAAATAAATACCATATGGACTATAACCAAGTACTGATTGAAGACGCCGTTTTATATTCTCTGTAGATTTTTGTTCTGTTCGTGATAATGCACTTGACGAACCGGGAAGCATATTTTTCTTTTTGATATCTAAAACAAATAGAGTTTAGAAATGAAGTCACATCTGTATTTTTGTCTTTATCAGTGATCCGAAATTTGTTGTTTGTTTTTTTTTGCGTTGTCAAATTTTTTCTTTATTCGTGTTCTTTGTCGCTCTTCATATTACACTCGCAAAAACACACTCGAAATGTAAATACTTTATAAGAATGTGTTTATATAATTTTCACGATCCGTATTAAAAGAACAAAACATCAATAAACTCAATCTGATTTGTTTTTTTTTCTTGGATTCTCTTGATTTTTATTCCAACAAAAAAGAAAAAAGAAAAAGAAGAAATAGGCAGTAGTAGTTCAGCACAACAAAAATGGTACGAATTATAAAACGACAACAATCAATGATGAATCATAGAGACAAAAAAAAAAGAAGAAAAACCACCAGCAAATGTCTTTATAATGATAATAAAAAGATGAGGAGGAAAAAAAAAGGTTCCACAAAACACATACAAGCGTGTTGTTATTAGAAGAAGATCTGCTCGCCAGATTGCCTGTTTTATTTGAAGGTACAAAATATGGAAAGAGCAACTACACCGGAAAGATGTGCTCTTTCACATGCGATGTTTTTTTTCACGGCCTGAATAATGATGATACGATAAAAAATAAATAAACAAAAAATATAATCGAATATCAAAAGAACAAGAGAATGACGAACAGGTTAAATAAATGACAACGAAAACAACAACAAAATGAAAAACAAATAAAGAAGGAAAAAAAAACGAGAATGCTTTCCACCAAAAAAAAAAAGATGAAGGATGAAATGACAATGACAAAACAAAAAAAAGAAGCTGAGATGAACGAAGAGAGAGAGATAGAGCGAAAAAAAATCATACAAAATAAAACTTGTGTACAAAATAAACGGAAACACAAAAAAAAAAGAAACAAAGAGAGCGAACAGAGTTTTTTTTTATAATCTTTTTTTTGGTTTTTTTTTAACAAAAAAGCCCACAATATATGTAGAAAGATTGCACAAAAAAACGAAAGAGAAAAAAAAAGAATAATCAACTATGACGAGTAAAACACATCTAAATGTGTTGATTTCTTTTATAAAGTTATTATCAGAAGAGCAGAAAAAATACGAGATCATCCAACGACTTATCCTCCACTAACAACATTGATCCAACAAATGCGCTAGGCCTTATGGAAAACAAATAAGAAGACATACATATGCGCAATGTTCACAAAACAAGATGAAAAAAAAAAACAAAGAATCGAATATAGACAAAAAAACATGATGATAATAATGAGAAGAAGATTTTCTCTACCAACGAAATGGTAATGCACGTGGACGATCAGCGCCTTCTTTTACCAATGGTTTATGATATTCTCGACCTGAACGAGCATGTATTGATGCCCAACATGCTTCACAATAATATTGTAAACATGTTACATTTGCACAAAAAAATGGAGCAAATTTTCCACCACATCGTGCACCAGCACATTCATCGCATAGTTGATCATCAAGTACATACGGTTTAACTTCAACCTAAACAAATATTTTACAAATTTAATAATCAATAAACCAAAAGAAAACTAAGATAACTAACTCGTTTATCAATATCTCCATGTTGTAATTGTACAAAACGAGCTGATATTGCAGCTATATAACTTTGTTGATTTGAAAAAGCTACACGACCAGCGCCCTTTGGATATTTTAATTCTGGATCTGTATCAATACCAGCATAACAAACACCACCATATAATCGATCCATTATCATTGCTAATTCAACTAAACAAAAAAAGAAAAAGAAATTCATACAGATACTAAAATGAATTCCCTTATCAAAACATTCAACAGTGTTCTGTTTCAAGAAAAGACAACTATCACAAAGAGATATATGTAGACTTTTCTTCATCTAGCAATGTATGCAACATTAACTGTCTGCTGCGAACTGTTGATATGTCACTAGATAGCACCACCTATCGATATGTTAACAATGTGGGGTAGAAACCGCATATATTCTTAGACAGAGGATGTCTTTGTTCACACGCCTACACATGTTCTGTTGTGCAGTGGAAATCTTATAGTCGCATTTTGTTAAAAGTCTTAATATTTATAGAATTGTATACAATTTTATCGAACCGAAACGTGACTTGGTATGCTTAACATTGAGATAGGAGAAAACATTCATTTGTAGACTGTCTATCGGAAATGTCTATCATAAATAAAATTACATCCTAACAGAGATCATTACTTTGATGCATGTCTTTGAATGTTTTGTGAAGATGATGGACTTGAAAACAGTCTGATCTTATATATTATTAGATGAAAAAGACGTCCGAAATTCTTATTCGATTGTTGAGAAGCGCGGGCTAGTAGATTTTGCTATTGTTGAAAATACACCCACCTCTCTTTAATTTTAGCGCCAATATTTCGATGCGGCACTAAAAATTCTTATCAAAAATACGTTTTTTTTAAATAAAATACGGATTAAAGAATCAATATTTCTAACATACTAATAATTAACAAGTAAGATTGTTCGATGTGTCGAGATTATATACATTATGCAGATCTGAATGCGCTATAAAGAGTACGTGTTCGTTGCTTATGGCTCCGAAGAAACTGTACTTTTAGGAAATTTTTAAAATGAATATTGTGAAAGTTTCATATCTTTTGATTTGCTTCCATGCTAACATAAGAATATTAAATCTATCGGTTCGATATAAAAGATACGTTATAACCATAATTGTATCTTCGGACAGAAGTAGCAGCAAGATCTTCAAAAATCAGTTTCTCTGGACTATAAAAAAAGAAACCGTAGTCATAAATAATGAACACGCATTCTTTATATCTTCTTTAACACAACATAATACACATCATCTCGAGTAAAACTTCTCTTGTCAGCGTACCCCATAGAATGTATAGTTTTAATTATGAATGTTCTATAACTTATAACCAAAGAATTTTCTTACCAGCACGTAATGGTCGAGGTACACCACCGACAAAAATAGTTTTTCTTGGATCAAGTGGTTGTGTACCATCCATAACAAAATCTGAATCAGCCAAAAGCCATGGACGTATTTGTACAGCTTTATCTTTCATACTTGGACTTGATACACACATATAAAGTTTTGAATCATCAATAACACATTCATCAATTAATTCTTGTACTGAACGTTCATATGTAAATATTAAAAAAGCATAACCTTTGGGAGGAAAATATGATTTGCTTTCTTGTTTATGTGGCCAATCAACAATTAATGGGCCAAATCTTTGAAAATGTGCAATAATTTCCTCTATAAATAAAAATGATTAACTTGATTTTTTTTTCTCTTTGTCTAATAAAAAACAAAATTTTTACCTTCATCAATATCTGGTGGTAAACCTCCAACAAAAACTTTACGTGAAAAACGTTCTTCTTTATTCATATCTATTGGCATAATACGTGATGATGAATTAAATAAAGCTGTTGATGATGTTGATGGTCCACCAACTGACATTAAACTGTCTGTATCAAGTATACTACCCATTCCACTATCTTCACTATAGACACGTTTAACTCCATCATTGGAAGCATTTCGCATCATATCCATTGCTTGATAAAATGAACTCATATCATAGGCATCACCCGACTGTAAAAAAAGATAAAAAAAGTATTTAAATAATAAAAAAATCTTATTTGTTTTTAACATTTTACTTACATTCATTGGTGTAAAATTTTGTCCCATATCACCATTATTTATTTGTGATGATGATGATGATGATTGTCCATTTTGTGCTGTAAGAAAATTATTTATTATTGATGTTGATCGTAATGTATTTAATGATGTTGGATTTTGACTTGTTGATGGTGGAAGAAATGAAAAGAAATTATTTGGTCCTTTTTTTGTTTGTGATATTGGAATATTTGGATTTGTTAATGATGGTACTGGACGACGAGATCTATAAATTAATAGGTTTCTTTTTTAAATAAGAAATTAAATTAAAAAAAAATTCAACATACGATGTTGCCGGAAAACCATGTGGAATTGATGATGTATTCCATGTTGGTGATTGAGGTTGTTGTTGTTGTTGTATATGAGGTGGTGGACCAATTGATGGTGATTGACTATTCCATCGTCCATTCATAGGTAATGTTTGCATACCATTACCACTACGAATATTTTGTGATGGAAAATTATGTGCTGCTGTTATTGGTCTTCTTTGTATTGCCTGTAGAAAACAAAAGCTGTTAATTTAATCTTTGTGTTATTAAAATATGAAATACGATCTAGCAACAGTTAAGAGTTACAAGATTGTTTTATTTGATCTATTTTAGGACACATTTTTTCTTCATTATTTAATCATCCAGAAATACAATAACGAAGTAGTTTATATATTTTAATGACATGTTATTGATGTGTGACGTGAGGGAGGAGCGACGCTCTCGCTACGTCTACTGTGTTATCCAAGATACACATAACGGGTAGAGTAGTTAACGGCGAAACTATAACACTAGCTCCTCTCTTGTATTGCGAAGAATAGTGAAAAGTATTGCTGCTCTATTAGAACAATGCATTCTTAAAAATACGACGTATCTAGCGAGGGCGTCACTGTTCAAAGAAAACAAGGGAGACACTTGTGTTCTGGCTCCGTCACTACTGTTAATGCTGATTCCACATTTGTCTTTGTTTTTCTTCTAAAGTGCTTCTATGTCAAAGACAAATGCAAAGAATCTTTAAAAACTAAGATTTTTTTGGATAACCTGTATCTCAGTTCAGAAATATTTGCTCTAACTGAGTGCATTTCCTAGGTATAAAAGAACATTCTTTAAAAGTTTTGTCGGTATCGAATTAATGAGAAAAAAAGCAGCTGTCAACTCGACTGAAGAGATCTATCGTAAAAAAAATAATCATTTTTTCAGAACTAAAACTTTTCTTCTAAACTGATAGAATAGAAGTCCTAGTTTCAGACTATATATGATTTATTGTCTAAATCTTTAAAAAATGATTTTTTCTCAACAAGTTCTGAAATTTGACC